CCTGCTGCACGTCTCACCCAGCAGGTTGTTGCTGACTAATCCATGTTTGCCGACTGATTTTTCAATTAAGGTCAAGGAAGCTGTTCCACAAAGCAACATCTCATTTCTGCTCTTCAACACCTCGGTGCCTCCCCACGTGTATCACATCCAGCAGCTGGGGCCCATGGAGGACTATAGCATCCGTGTTTCCTGCGGGAATGAAGTCGGCTGGTCAGCGTTTAGCCCCTGGATAACTGCCAGCACCACTGAGGGAGGTAGGAAACGAGTAGCAAAGACCAAGAAGAGTTTCCTGGCCTCAGTCATGCTGTGGGCAGGACTGTCTGGATGCAATGCTCATCCAGAGTCATGGTTGTTTATGGGGTGGGACTTCTCAACTCTGTTGTCTGGAGAAAGGAAATTTACCCACTGGTGGTCACCTGCTGGGAATATTAAAGGCTGTAGGAAATACCATGCACTTTCTGGTTGAGCTACAGCTCATTTTCCATCAGCCTGCCATGTCCCTGCACCCAGCCACCCGGCTCCCCTCACCTTCTTCCTCTTCGATCCCTGCAGCTCCCACCACCCCACCCCTGAATGTCACGGTGTCGTTCAATGAATCCATCTCCTCCCTGGAGATCCGATGGGTGAAGCCGCCCCTGGGGAGGATCCACGGGGAGCTGCAGGGCTATCACATCTGGTACAGGTGGCAGAACTCCAAGGGGTTGGTAAGTCACCATGGAAAGGGGGAAGAATGTGAAAGTCTAGAAAAATCCTGGCAGGCATCAACCAGGGATGTGTGGTTTGGTCTTGGCACTTGCATATATTCTTTTTGGAGCTTATTTGTCTGCTGTCTGTTCTTTCATCTGGGCTTTTTTCATACAAATGGTCTCTCTTGCTTGTGTTTATTGAACTCATGGTTAGAGCTACATGATCTTTAAGGCCCCTTCCAACCCAAAGCATTCTATGATTCTGGGATTAATGTTGGGAAAAAGCAGTTCTGCCTAAAGGAGACAGGAGGTTTGCTGCCACGGCCCCTGTTCTCTAAAACAGAAGTGAGATGCCTTTCCAGAGTTGACAGTCTTTGGTGTGGCCTTTGGAGCGGCAGCTGAGGTTTAACAGCACCTCTTGGCACTTTCATCAACAGAGTCAATCATGAGGTGTTTGGGAGAACTTGTTCCCTGGATCTGGAGTCGTTCCTTACTCAGATGGGATTTATTCCGTGTGTTAAGTCATCCACAAACCCATGGCGCAGAGTTTCATAGCTCATGGAACATTTTGGTGCCTGGGACCCTGTCCATGAGTGACTGAGGTCATCTGGCACAACCTTGCTTGCCTTTCCCAGGATTTGGGAAGTAGCCTTCATGAATTTGCTATGGCAAGGTTGGCCTGACCTTGGTCATCTCAGCTATTGGGCAGAGGAGTCTCCTGTCTGGTCAGGGAGCCTCCGGATCATTGCACAGATGTGTCCAGCTGTTGCCTCTGCCCTGTGGTTTGGTCTTCCTCTGTCCCAGTCTGAGAGCACAGAGACGCACTGACAGCCTGAACCCAGTGTGGAAAAAGTGACTCAGACCCTTTTTTTGTAGGATGCTGCATTTTCTGTTCTCCTTTTGCACTTCTGAAAAAGAATGTAGATAGATGCAGACTGAGTGAAGTCAGGGAAACAATATTATGGTCTTGTGACTAGCACAGAGAAAAAAAAATGCTGACATATTTGTCATCTCTCAAGCAGAAAGCAAAAAACAAGACTTGGCCTTTAAACCCTGGGAGATTGTTGTTGTTTTTATAAATTCCCCCACACCAAATGCTTACAGGGTGAACTCTCTGCTTGGGTTCCTGGTCTAAAACCAGTCTCCTTAAGGCTGGCTTTCAGGACATTCAAAAAGCTCCTGTGGAAGGGAGTGAGCTGAGGTGAGGGGTCATTGTGCTGGTGACCTCGGCTCTTTGCAGCCCAGAGGAAGCAGCCGTGTTTGGTGCTGCTTTCCTTCCTCAGTCTCCAGGTTTTATGGAAAGCAAAACGGGGTGTCAGAGCCAGCCTAGGGTAGAGACCAGCATGTCTTTTTATTGGGGCTGTCACAGAATTAAGACCAAAGTAACTACTGTTGTAACAACCCCAGTACTATAAAGGAAGGAGGATACTGTATTTATGTGTCAGCAGGGCCACCTGCAGGCCTCTTCTCTACAACCAGCTGAAAAACTGCTTCAAAACCTTTAAAAAGAGTTGTTTTATTTTATTCCTGTTTGAGCCAAGGCTGCCAGAGTTGGGATATGAAGAAATTCTTCAAGTACTGCAAGACTCATAAAAAATCCATCAACTTTGGCAGTTGTGTCCTGCCGGAGCGGCTGTCTGCTCTGCCAGCACCCTCACCATAGTCTGCTTGATATCAGCCAGGCTCTGTCCTCAGATGACCCAGCAGAACCATCTGTCATCCCAAAGGAGTACTTTTAGGCTGGTGGTAGGGAAAGGATCTTGTTTGTGTTTCCACCAAAGGATGCCAGGACTGCAAACAGCAAGCAGTTCACTGGAAGTAGCTCCCATTTCCTCTCCTTCCCTACTGATCCCTGTCAGCTGCTGTTTTTGCTGGGACTTGGGATGTTTAGCCAGGGTAAGGAGCTGGCCACAGCAGCCTTCCAGATGTTTGGGATGCCACTAGGCAGCTGTTTTGCAGCTGGAGATTGGCAGAGAGCAGCAGCAGCACTTTCTTAGCTGAAGAAGGCCAGAAAAAGACAGGGAATTTGCAGGGAAAGCCTTACGTTTTTACCAAGTACAAAGGTTTGTGCCATGGCTTGCATCCTTCTTTGCTGCTGGCCAGGAAAGGCTGTGGCATGTGGCCACGAGCCACAAGCATCCCTGGCTGGCAGCGAAGAGGGGTGTGAGTCACTGATGGCCACAGCGACCATGGTGAGGGCTGGGGTCAAAATCCATGTTACCATCAAGGCATGAAACACCTTTCCCCCTTCCTCACGAGATGGCTTTCGTGCCTTTCTGCTGGCTGAGGCCGCTGGTCCCGCTGCTGGTTCCAGCAGCACCAGGACTGAAGGGGAAGCGCCGCTCGGCCTCTTTCCCGATCCCATCCGGCTCTTCAGACTGGGCTATTCTTCTCCATAAATAGTTGGGAGCTGCATTTCCTCTGGGCTTGTGAAAGCACAGCAAGGCAGAGGTTGGACAAGGGGTTGATTCTCAAGGAATCTCTGGGGTTCCCTCCTGCTGTAGGGACGTGCTGCTGTCTCCCCCAGCCCAGACTTTCCTTCCCTTCCTCTCTCCAGCAGAACATCTCAGCCCAAGCCTGGCAGAATGCCAGCGTGGCCATCCTGCCCGTGGTTGCCACCAATGCCACCTGCTCCATCGCAGTGGCCGCTGTCACCAAGGGGGGAGTGGGACCTTTCAGCAGCCCAGTGAACATCTTCATCCCTGACAATGGTAAGGAGATGCCCATCTCTGCCCTGGGTGTGTGAAAGGATGATGGGGAAGTACCTAGGGCATGCTGTTCTTGCCCAGTCAAGGACATTTGGCATCCCTCCATCCTCCTTCAGATGCTTTCCCAGGCTGTCAATGATCTTCAGCATGCTTTGGAAGCCAGGAGATACTCACTCTCCACATGCAGCCTGAATCCTCATGACCTCTTCTCCCATGTAACTCTTTGGGCTTTTGTTTCAGCCCCTGGGAAATCCTCCTCCAGTCCTCCCCCCAAGCTTTAAACTGGAAGAGGGGAGATTCAGGTTAGGCATGAGGAAGAAATTATTCACTGTGAAGGTGGTGAGACACTGGCCTAGGTTGCCCAGAGAAGCTGTGGCTGCCCCATCCCTGGAAGTGTTCAAGGCCACATTGGATGGGGCTTGGAACACCCTGGGTAGAGGTGTCTCTGCCCATGGCAGGGGGTTTGAGCTTAATGATCTTTAAGGTCCTTTCCAACCCAAACCAGTTTGGGATTTCACGATTCTGTGATTGGTGGCTGCTGCAGGGGCCAGCTCTATTAATGGGATATTTTTTCAGGATTAATAACCTCAGCCACCTCTTCAACTCCAGCCTTGGGGAATGGAGACTCCTTTATTGTAGCCCTGGGCTTCATCTGTGGGACGATTGCTGTCGGGCTGGTCCTCTGCTTGTCTGTGGTCATTCAGAAAAGATGCACAGAAACAAAATACGGGTAAGTCAAAGGGAAAACAGGCTGGGAAGGTGCCTGGAACTGGGCAGGTTGCAGGCCATGAGGCTGGGTGCAGGCAGAAGGCTTCTGCCTCCAGTACTGACGTCATTCCCACAAATGGCATATTTTTTTTGCCTGTGGTGAGGCACTGAGTGTATTTTTACTGCAGTGAGGGTACTTCCCCTCCCTTCCTTAGCCCAGCAGTTCACCTTTTGCTCACTATTGCTATTTGGAATGGGAAGTAAACTTTTGCAGCCTTGGCGTTTTGAGACGGAGGTGGGAGAGCAGCAGTGCAAAATGTCCTGTGGCCTGGAGAAACCCCTCCTGCCTCCTCACACGCCACATCTGCCACCGCACTGCTGGTTTAATGATGTGGACAAAGGGCTGTTTGCTGCTACAATAAGCCAACACTACTCACTCACCCTCGTGACTTTCCAAGTGGCCTTTCACTGCCCTGAGCTGCAGTTCGTGTTTCACAGTTGTTGTGCCAGCAGCTTTTCTTTTAAGAGTTATTGCTTGGGTCTCCACTGCCAAACTGGAGATGGGATTTAATTAACTCTTCTGGAAGAGCATCATGTTAGCAAGAGAGTTTGTTGAGCTGGTGAAGGAATCCCACCTACTCCCTTGGCATCAGCCCCATCATAGTTTGCAAGCTGGTGATACATACAGATCTCTTTCCTGACTGGTGTAGCATTTTGTTGCGTTGTTGGCTTCCTGGGAGGTTCTGAGGTTTTGTTTACCAGAGCCCTGCAGGGCCCCATCCCAGGGGCTTTGCAGAGCATCCCCCAGCAGCGTGCCCATCACCACTGCTTCAGGGCCATGCTGTGAGGCTCCCTTCAGGTTCTTTTTGGCTAAAGTATGGGGTTGCATGTGCTGGAGCTGTGCATCAGCCAAGAGTAGAGATCTCTTAGGAGGCAGTAGATCTAGGCACCTGCTGGTACAGACAACTCTCCAATTAGGAAATGAGTATCCCATTTCCTTCCCAAAACACCTCTATGACTCACTCCTTGACAGATCAGCCTTGTTTATCCAGTAGCTGTTTTGCTCGGACCTCGTAAGCCGTGGCACGGAATCAGTAAGAGGGAAACGAAGATGAGGGTGACTGTGTGCTTCCTCCTCCACTACCCATAGTGGAGGAGAACCAGCCACATGTGGCCCAGCAGGATCTGCTTCTGTCCCACCAGGAATGCTTTCAGCCGAAACGACTTGGAGCTGGCAGTGAGCTACACAGCCAAGAAGTCCTACTGCCGGAGAGCTGTTGAACTTACACGTAAGAGTATTTTTTTATCCCTCTGGAAGGAGGTTGACAGAGACACCACGGCAACAGATGTGTCTGATTGGAGGTGACCTGAGCTCCTGTTCCCCTCTCCCACAGTGGGCAGCCTGGGTGTCAGCAGTGAGCTCCAGCAGAAGCTGCAGGATGTTGTTGTGAACAGAAACGCCCTTAGCCTGGGGAAGGTGCTGGGAGAGGGTGAGTGCTAGGGCTGGAGAGCTGGGGATGGACCTATGGGGCAGGGAGTGCCACTGTTATCTACATCATCTTAAATGTCATCATCTTATCTAAACTGTGTTCCTACCTGGAAAGGTTGGGTCAAATGATCCTTGAGGTCCCTTCCAACCTGGCATCCTATGATTCTGTTATGATCCTCCAGCTCCAGGGATATGGGGGAGGTGGTGGGTCAAGGTGACCAAGTACCAGGATGTCCTTGGAGCATTTCCAATCTTGGAGGACATAGTGGTGTCCTGAAAGGTTGTGCTTTGGGTCATGGATGCTTCTTTCCCATGGTGCAGGGGAGTTCGGGTCAGTGATGGAGGGACATCTCAGCCAGCCCGAAGGTGCCCCACAGAAGGTGGCCGTGAAGACCATGAAGCGTAAGTTGTCACCCTGGCCTAGCAGAACTTGACATTCTTTGTCCTAGTGGGTCCGGCACTCCTGCTGCCTGTCTCAGAAGGTGCTCTCTGCATCCTGGCACCATTTTGTGGGGATGCTGATCCCTCTGCCACAGCTGCTCATGCCAGTTGGGAAGGGGAACTCATATTTGACCACCAAAGATGGCAAAGAAATGCCAGTGGTCCCTTCCCCCTGCCCCATGCAGGAGCTGTGCTGTGAAGGGAGATGACAACAGTGGTTCAGGGGGTTAAAGCTCTTGGGGTTTGAAACCTGCTCCTTTTTCTCTGCTTCCCAGTGGATAACTTCTCCCAAAGGGAGATAGAAGAGTTCCTCAGTGAAGCAGCGTGCATGAAGGACTTCGACCACCCCAATGTCATCAGGCTTCTAGGTATGGGATGTCACTTGTCTCCTCCAGCTGGGATCTGGGAGCTGGACTGGGGAGGGCTCAGATCCCGGGGGGAGTGTGGGGCCTTTTCCCACCGGGCCATGCAACCTCTCAGTGTTTTCCAGGCGTGTGCATCGAGCTGAGCTCCCAGCAGGTCCCCAAGCCCATGGTGATTCTTCCATTCATGAAATACGGTGACCTGCACAGCTTCCTCCTTCGCTCGCGGCTGGAGATGGCCCCGCAGGTAACAAGCATGGGGAGCAGGGGGCCCTATGTCTGTGATGTGGGACCTTGCCCCTTTTGGCAACAAACCTGCCTTTGTTTTCTGAGAACATCAAGAGGACTTGGTCATAATCCTGCCTCTGCTGAGTGGCAGTGGTAGGATACAGCTCCACCAAGCCCATAGGACTCTCACCTTGCCTTCTTTAGGCTGAACAAGCCCAGTTATCTCAGCTCCTCCAAGTACACCATCTCTTCCACCCCCATCCCAGTGCCTCACAGAATAATTCTGGTTTGAAAAGACCTTGAACATCATTGAGTCCAACAATTAACCCAACTCTTTTGAGTCCAGTGCTAAGCCATATCCCTCAGCACCACATCCACATGGCTTTTAAGCACTTCCAGGGATGGTGATTCAATGACCTCCAAGGGCAGCCTGTTCCAGTGTGCAATTACCCTTTCAGTGAAGTTTCTTGTGATATCCAAAATATCACCAGTGCCAAATTAAGGGGAAGAAGAGTTTCTCTGGACCTGCTGGCTGCTCTCCTGCTAGTGCAGCTGGCTACAAGGTTGGCCTTCATTGGCACAAAGCCATGGTGCTGGACCACAGTCAACTTGCTCTACACCTGGGTCCTTTTCTGCAGAGCTGTTTTTTTAGCCAAAAACAAGCTAGGAAAGGGATCATCCAAATAGGTTTGTGCTGTCTAACCTGCACCTTCCCTCCCCAGTTTGTGCCCCTGCAGACGCTGGTGAAGTTCATGGTTGATATCGCCCTGGGGATGGAGTATCTGAGCAGCCGGCAGTTTCTCCACAGGGATTTGGCAGCTCGAAACTGCATGTGAGTTTGTTTTCCATTGATGAACACCAGCAGAAGCCTGGTGGTTTTACAGCACAACTCGGCTTCCTCCACAGAACCCCCCCCCGGTCTTGAGAGCCCTGGGGAAAGATCTCAGCCTCGGATTTCTTCTTTACAGTTTGGCCTGTTGAACTTCTTTGATGTTGTCCCTGTTCCCTCCTGGCAGGTTACGGGATGATATGACGGTGTGCGTGGCAGACTTTGGGTTGTCCAAGAAGATTTACAGCGGTGATTACTACCGCCAGGGCCGGATAGCCAAGATGCCAGTGAAGTGGATCGCCATTGAGTCCCTGGCTGACCGTGTCTACACCACCAAGAGTGACGTGGTATGTCCCAGTGGCTGGGCAGCCAGGAGGGCAGGAAGACAGAGCTGGGGACCCATCCCTGGGTTCAGTTGTCTGCACTTTGTCATGGTTGTGACAGCCAGAGGAACAGGAGGCTTTTGGTGATGGGACACACTGACCTTCCACTGCCTGCGCAGCGCCCTGGAATATGTTTATTGAGTGGGCCACTCGCCTCTTCTGTGGCATGGCTTGCTATTGCCAAGTCTGGGGAGGGCAGGGCTAGAGTGAGAGCTCTCAGCATTGTGTGAGGGCCTGGCAGGCGCCGGGCAGTGACCTTTCCCCATGAACAGCCTCATTCATTCCTCTTGGAAGTGCTCTTTCAGCAGTCTCTCCCTTTGTCCCCACAGTGGGCATTCGGCGTCACTATGTGGGAGATCGCCACCCGAGGGATGACGCCCTACCCAGGGGTGCAGAACCACGAGATCTACGAGTACCTCTTCCATGGGCAGCGCCTGAAAAAGCCCGAGGGCTGCTTAGATGAGCTGTGAGTCTCATAATTCCACCTAGGGGCTGGAGCACAGCCCCCTTTGCTCACCCTCTGCCTGCAAACAACCTGCACGTCCTTTCCCTAAGCGCAGGTGGTTTCTGGGGGGTGCTGCTCTTTGTGCTGCGTGGCTCTCAGTTGCTGAATGTCCTTTTGATCAGCACATGACAAATTAATGTGCTGTGGGTTTGTGGCTTAGCACTAAATTTGGCAGAAAGCTGCACACGGCAGCGCAATCCAACCTGCACTCCCACCTGCCTCTCCAAGTGGCTTAAGATGGGTCTGTAGTGGAGAGGGAGTCACCTCCCACCTCACCTCCACCATTTTTCCCACAGCTTCCAGAAACACTAGTTATTAAAGACTGGATTTTTTAAAAAATTGCAAGGATTTAACCTTTTCTTCCTTGTGGTACTGACAGGCAGAGAACTTAAAAGAACACAGGTTAACTCTCAGAGGAGAGCTGGTCAGAATTACATCTTCTTTGACAAATGTTAAAAAAACTTCAAGCCCTTTGATATTTGCATAATCTCCCAGGTTCTGACGTGTCTAATAAAAGCCAGGTCCCAAAGCACTGTATCACCCAGGGAGGACAAAGCATCCTCTTCATTCCAGGCAAACTGGCACACAGAAATCCCAACGCATGTCCCAGGAGAAAGTGATGGATGCAGGGCTGGCACAGAGGGCTGAGAACCATGGGAACTGCTGAGGTCACCTTGCTGGGTCCTGCAGGGAGAGGAGCAGTGCCCTCTGCACTGAGGAATCAGGCTTTTTCTTATTGTATTTAGTATTTTGTAATTAAGATGGTTTTGGCCAGAAGGTCTTGGCTGGTGATGCCCTTCTCTGCCCCACAAAACTCCCTCTAGTTACTTAGCGCCCTCCAGTGCCTAAAAAACGTGAATCTGGAAAGGCAAACCTCAGAACTTCGCATTTCTGAGCAGTTCAGTGGGGGTTTTTCTCCTGTGTTTTCTTCCTGAGTTTTTCACTGGTGCTGTTATAATTGAAAATATTTAACCTCACCGTGGCAAAAAGCTGCAAATACAAACCCCTCAAATTGGCAAAACTGCTCAGAGTGGCACAACACATCCTCCAAGGCCCCTCTCCAATGCCTGTTCCGGAAGAAAGCAGGCACTAGGCATTCCCACAACATCCAGCCTGGGAACAGGCACCTGTGGGAAGGACAGGAGGAGGACTGGGTGTCCTGGGAGCAGAACTGGCTTGCCCAATTTGGAGAGAAGCAGGGAATTAGCCCCTGTAAATCCCATAGCCCAGCACCTGGTGCTCAAGGCCAGGTTGGATGGGGCTTTCAACAACCTGGTCTAGTGGGAGATGTCCCTGCCCATAGCAGAGGGGTGCAACTAGATGATCTCTAAGGTCCCTTCCACCCCAAACCACTTCATGATTCTATGATAACCACACTCCTCTCTCTATTCCCAGCTATGAAATAATGTCTGCGTGCTGGAGAGCTGACCCTGCTGCCCGTCCGACGTTCTCGCAACTGAAGGTCCACCTGGAGAAGCTGCTGGAAAGCCTACCCAAAGGATCCAGAGACATCATCTACATCAACACCAGCCTGCCCGAGGAGAGCCCGGATTCCACCCAGGATTCAGGCTTCCCCCAAGCAGACTCTGATTTGGACCCTGGCGATGCTGGCGAGCCCTGCCCTGCCCAAGCCTCGGCAGCACTGGTGGCTGTGGATGTCCACCACAGTGACCCGTGGGGGACGAGGTATGTCCTGGAGGAGCAGCTCAGCGGCCTGGTGGAGGAGGCCTACGTCCCACTGCTGCCTGAGGGGACAGGGACAACTGGCGAGGACTCGGCATGGAGCCAGGCCAGCACCTTGCCTGCTGGCAGCTCACTGGTGTCTGGGCTGGCAGATAGCTGCCTGGAGGACTCCGAAGTGCTGCTGTGAAAGCAGGAGCCTGGTGGAAATGGGCTCCCAGAAAAGGACAGAGAGGGTATATTTTAATAAAATGAAGGGGTTTATTTCTTCCTGCGTGATTTTCATAGCACGGTCCAGCTCTTCCCAGGAGCTTTCCTGTGCTGAAGTCACGGAGGAGTGTAATTAAATGCTGTTATTAGTTTTGCTGTATCAGGAGGCTCTGAGTTCCCCACAGCACAGGTGAGAGGCAGCCCTGACCCCCCAGGGGGAAGAGAGCACGGACAGGGCAGAGATGTGGGGAGCTGCCCTGTGCCACCCCACTTGGGGTTGGCTTCCCTCCATCCAGGCAGTGCCTGCCCCAAACAGCAAGGTGGGGTGCAGCCCACCACCCCAGGCTGCAGCCAGTTTGCCACTGCCTTTTTTTCTCCTCTTTTTCACCATTTGTTGGGGCTTTTTGGCTGGGTGCCCCTCTGCATGCCCTGGGCCCCAGCCCGCTGGGGGATTTCACACCATGAGACGTCCCCATGGGAAATTGTGAGCGTGGAGCCTAAACAGGATCAGTGGGGGCTTCAGAACTCCTTTCTCCCAAATGCAGGTTCGTGTCTGTGTACCCAGGAAACCATTGGTCTTGTTGCAAGGACAGGAAAAGAAGAGTCTGTAAGGGAGGGTCAGGAGGGATGGAGCTACCCTGCTCTTACCCTGGTCCTTCCCATCTGTCCCTTCTTTTTATTTTTCCTTTTTTTAAATTTTTCCCATTTTTTTTCCTTAATGGGGACTTCTGCTCTTTCCAGAGCAGGGGCTGCTCTACAGCCGTGCCCAGCAGATGGAGCAGGGACCCCGCGCACTGCATGGCCACCTCCCCTGAGGGGGAGACAGGCTGGGGAAGGGGTGCAGGGACTGGGAAAGGGGGCACAAGGGCTGGGAAAGGGGTATGCGGAGGGGGTGGTGCAGGGGTCCCGTTGCGGACACGCACGTCCTGGGGACAGTCCTGGGGATGCTGGCAGCAGACAGAGCCCTGCCTGGTGTCCCGAGAGGACGTGGAGGCGGCTCGGGGATGCCCGGTGCATCCCCCTGGAAAAAGCCGCGCCGGGAAGGGCGGGGGGCGGGAGAGGGGACCGGTCTCCCCGGGGCGGGGAAGAGCCGCGGCCTGTCCCGCCCAG